GTTTGGACGATGATTTCTCATTCAGAGGAGATAATAAAGTAGCAGCATTAGAATGTGGCTATTTCACTGCCTCTGCATTTAAATTGGAGAGAGAAGTGAAGCAGAACATACACGTAACTCACCTGTCATCTCACTTCAGTCTGCAAATATTGCTTTCATTCAGTATTATGGATGTATTATAATATTGCACATTGTTCATGTTCAGGCTTGAACAATTCAGCTTTTATTGCTACAGAATTATTTATGTAGTTGTTATGTGTATGCTGATGTGGTTTGTTTACAAGGAGAAAAATACACATTAAACTTGTGGGAATCCTGTTATGATTGGTAAGGTGAATCACATCAAATCTTTTATTCAAAGTAAATATTTGACACTGTTTACTGTTTCATTTGGATTTATTCACTTTTTCAAATGAATACATCCTGCTGTGAAATTGTTGAAACCCATATGAGTGAAACAAACATCAGTGAGAGCCACTTCTTCATTTTAGTTTTTGTTCCTCTCTCCCTATTTCCTGACACCCTAATAGTTGGAAGTTACAACTGCAGCCTGAAAGGATGCTTGAAAAAAAAAAAAAAATGTTTGCACATTTTGAGTTTAATCTCTCAAGATTTAATGAGAAAATGAGAAAAAGTTGGATATCTATCTATCAATCTATTCATCTATGTTCTCAGGGCTAACCTTGACCCATTTCTAAGACATCTCCCCACCTAACCTGGACACTATATATTGTGACTGATGTTGTGTCTCACATTGGGTTTGTTAGTGATGGATAACTGACAGAGAAACGTCAGCAGATCTGTTTGTGACTAATGAAATAAATTGTGACTTCATTTTTACTTCTATCAAGTGGTTTCTACCTCTTTTTTCATAAACTCAGTGTGAGGGAAGATTTGCCTTTGAGGTGAGTGTGTGTGTACTAATTCATGAAAGTGTGTATGAGCAGTATGCATGACATACACACATTGTAGGTTGTGGGCAACAGAGCCTCACAGTGCATTAAGGGCAAACAGCCTCGGTGTAGCAAGGATTTTCTTGTGTCAAATATGTTATATTTGTACAAATCTGTGTTCTCCCTTCTTAGTTGGTTAAATCCACAAAGAGAATTCTTAGAAAACATTCACTTTTCCTTCATTGGATTAGAACTGAGACCAGCTAAAATATTCACAGACTAAGACAGAGCTAAAGGGAGATAGCAACCACATAATGAAGATACTGGATATAAAACTTTCCTATAAAACTCTGCTGGATACTGAAAAAGCTTTGATCTCGGTCGCATTGAGTCTTTCAAATACTCTTTAAAAATGTAATTAAAAGAAAATAAATAATTCATACTGCTGCAGGGGTCCATGTTGTCCAGATTAAAACTTTGGACTTGTGTGGTCCTCTACTTTGAGCTGTAGTATGAGACTCTCCTCTACATGGTGTGATTTCTATTAAAATTCTGAAGAGAGTGAAGAAATCTAGTCATCATATTAATCCTCAATTTTTGATTGGTGCATGGGAAGGAAAAGAACCTTCTGCCCGTGCTCTGCATTCATAGTTATGTCAGTATTTTTTTCACATTTTCTCAAAGCTTATATATAACTACAAGACATATGGAATGGAGCAGTACCACCGGAAATCAAGGTGGAGCAGGGCAGCCAACACTAAACGTGAAATGACCATAAACCACAAGGAAGAAATTTTAAGAATAAGAAACTACAGGCGTCTATATAATGTTACTTCCCCGAGCAGAGGGACTGCTTTTGCCTCTTTCTTGAGAGATCATCACAACCTCACCATGCTCACAGCAAAACAGAGAGAGAGAGAGAGAGAGAGAACCCACTTCACCTGCCTTCAACTTATTGACATTGTTATAACCTACATTGGATTTGTGTGATGACTAAAGTTAACGTAGTCTCCAATATCTTCTGTAATAACATGGACTCGCTAAAATGGTAAATTAATAGTTTAAATTGATATTTTGTCTGGTACAACTAGCTTTCACGTGAGGGTGACCTGAATAGTTTCAGTCCGCTTCTGGTTATTGGTTTTCAAATGAAAGCTTTCCAGACTTTCCACTTCCGAACAAATGCAACACATTCATGAAAGATTTACTAGAACACCACCAAACATTAAAAATACAGAATACACACAGTATATATTTTTTATTGGCTGGTTGTTTTTTTTTTTCTTTTTTCCAACGAGTAACTTGAAGCAAACTCTTCTCAGACAAGTGCGTCACAGAGTTAAAAGAGCAGGACTGGGGCAGTCATTAAAGCTCAGAGTCAAATTCAGCATAATCCACTCTGCGCCCGCGCACGCACGCATGCACACACACAACACAGCTCAGCTTTTTATGGACTTTTCTTTCTGCAAAGACTCAAAGATAAAGACATGAAAAGCAGCTATTCAATAAGATATTACGATCTAGTTTTAAAGTTATGCTAGATTAAATATAACAAATGTTAACACACTGAATTCATTATTTTTTAATGAAGCAAGATGTCAAAATCTGTGGCGTTATGAAAGACGCACCAGATTTCACTGATATGAGACCAGATGACGACTCCTACACTTTCCTCAGTGACATGCCAGTAAAGATGTTTGAATCAGATCTGTCACATGTGATAGTCTGGTGAACTGTCTACACTGGGATAGGCTCCAGCCCCCCACCAACCTGAAAGCATAATAAGCACAATAAGAGACTGGCTGGATGGACAGAGATTAATTAGGCCATTTGTTACTCTGCCTTTACATTGTTTTGTATTGTCGGGCAGGTTGTAGACACTGAATGTCTTTTTGTACCTTGACTATATCAGATAAAACTGTATATTGGCTTGTTCAATACAAGCCAGTGCAAACCTATTTTCTTGTTTACTCGCCATGCATAGATATTCTGTACAATGCATATAGAGTGGCCACTGAAGGGACTGTAAAAAAGTGCAAACTAGGTCATCTTGCCAATCACAATCTCAGGATGCTTGTAGGGAGGAGGAGTAGGAGAGTCCGACCAGAATGTGGCTGCACCTCGCTGCTTTTGGGCTAAATTACTGATTTCATGTTGGGCAGTGCTGGCCTGGCCGTTCAGCTCGACCAGCAGAACAGGCCATTAGGTATTCCCCCAGGACTTCTGATGTCCAGTTGGAGCCTGCCTGTGAACAATACACAGCCATGTCCAAAAATCACTTCCTCACTCCCTCATTTACAATCAATATCATTTCCAAGAGGCAGTGTTGAAATTTGTCCGATACCAAAATGGATCAGAGCGGACTCGCTGTCTGTAACGACCCTGTGGTGCACAATTTTCATCACAGACTGGTTTTAGTGTGGGTAATACGGCAGATTGCTTTAGGTGTTGCAATGTTGGTCGGCCCGTCTGTTCACCCCTTTGGCCCACACCTCAAACAGAAGTTTTTAAATATGCTGGCTTTCAGCAGGATGTGAGTATTAATTCTGTTTTTCCACAGAACATGATTTCAACTGTGGTGGTGGTAGCTGCAGTGGGGCTGTGACTGTCTAACAGGAAACACTTGGGTATCGTTGCTCTTTAAGTAAATGCACTTTAATGTAAAGTCCATAACTGCAAATAGACACTTTAGCTTGTTGAAAACATCCAAATATACAATTTAAAAACATTGAACAATCATTGGATATCACTGAACAACTGCGATCATAGTGGAAATGAGACAAATTAGGATCAAAATTTTTTTACAAGGCATTTTTTCATGAAAATATGTTGTTTGGTCGAATCTGTCCTGAAATTTTAATAAGATAAAATAAGAAACTTGATTGATCTCACTGGGCCAATCACATTTTACAGCAGCACATTGTCAAAAAGGTGGACAAGAGAGCATGTGAAAGTATAAAATAGAATAAAAAATGCCGTGCAAAATCGGTATTATCCTGAGGAGCTGAATGTGTGAAAGCAAATGTCCACTTGAATCGCATATTAAATGGACTTTACCCTAACGGCTCTGTTACACAAAGTATGTGTGATATTCTGACAGAGATGTGAATAGAGCAGGTCATTGTCCAGAGAATGTACAGCGTGTACATAATGTTCTGATCTACCTTCCTGCAGTGCTGTTGAATGGTGTTGGCCTTGTTCACACTCTACCCAAGCCCTGGCCTAAACCATATGGAGTATTTCCAACAAGTGTGAACCAGTCTGGACACTATTTTTCAGACTTTTGCTTGAGATGATGACAAACTGTTAAATCAACATAGATATACTGTATATATAGACATACAGAATATATACACACACTCACTGCACCAGGGTGGTATTACCCTGACACATAACCTCCATAACATCACAATGTGCCATTTTAACACTCTGTACTTTCTGATAAAGCAGGGGTAGCTGTTTTCCTCTTGTCCAGTGTTTGTGCTACTCTGAGTTGCTTCATATTTACTGCACAGACACGAGTGGTATGGAGCTGCATATCTAAAACTCAGCATGACAGCTACCTGTATCTTTTATCACACTTGACATGTGTATAGTTAAGAGCTCAAGGGAGTGCCGTGTCAACTTTAGTGCTGTTTGGACACACAATATGTTCAATATTAATACAATTTAAATTAAAAGGCAAACATTGCTTTGCAGTCAGTGGGAGCATTGTCTGTGCACCGAGTTGACCACGTCCTTGGATAAAACACAACAGCGTTCAGCAACTCGCGCCCCGCAGGCCTTGAGTGGCAATACTGTCTGTCCTTGTTGGACCGACACATCTATTAAACGGTTATCATAGGTGCTGATCTTTGTCATGGCAACAACATTCCTTGAACAACTTACTTTTTACCGATTTGTCCACAAAGTAAACAATGATGTAGTTGTTTTGGTGTTGCAATGCTTTATACCAAGCAGAATCGCAGCGCTTTTATTTTGAAAAGCTGTGATCTTGATTTTGACTACTAGGCAGACCTCTGAAAAAGTCGACATGCAATGTAAAAAAACAACACCAGTTAAGTAAATCATTCACACTTATATGTAAGCCACACACATGAACAGGACAAGTAAACAGCCCATTCCAAACAGGCAGGAGAAGAACAGGCACTGCAGCTTCTTTAAATTATTCATTTCAAAATGACTCAATGAATAGATGTGGAAGTGCCTCGCATGCAGAGACAGTAAAGCCGTCAAAGTGAGTTTTTTGTCCAAATGATGTGAGAATGAGAGAGCACGGTGAACCAGAAAGCTTAAGAGGTGAGAGAAAGAGGGAGACCTCGCTCTGAGATGCTCACCTCTGCTCTGAGACACCTCATTTTCCTCCTCTGACGTCCACCTCCATCCATCATTCTCCTTCTCCTCCTTTCCTAGTCTCTTCCTCTCTGTCTGTTCTCAATCTGATTAATGGGCAGGGCCCTGGTTGAACCTATTAACAATGTGTATTACCGCTCAGTCTGCAAATAGCCTGCTATGTCCAGACCTACTTTACACTTCTCAAGGTAGCGGTGGCCTATTAGACTGCTCTCTGACTGGGAAGCTGTTTCTGTAACTCCCGCTCTCCTTTTCTTTGTGCTATGTCTATTTCTGCCCTTCTGCCTCCCATCTTGTCTTTTCGAGCCTTCTCCTCCCCAGTTGTCTTCCTCAGCGCCCTCTCTTCTCCAGCTATCCTTGGCCCTATTAAGATGGTCAAGTCGGGAGATTAATCGACCTGAAAACATCATCAATCAAAAAAGAAAAGTAAAAAAAACTACATCCTACTCTTGGCCCTCTCAACCTAGTTTCTGGAGTGAAGACTCCTTCACTGAGTGGTGTACAGTACAGTACAAACACTATCAATTCATTACGTTTTATATTTCACCATTTTCTTCGTAAAACAATATACATTTGAAATGTAGATGCTGCTGTTTTAAATATGTCCTTATCTGGGTTTATTCAAAAGTAGGAAAGTGCTTTTTAACATCACATCTTGTTGAAGCATATTTGCCACATTTTGCAGTTACATTAAATTCCCCAATATTTGTTTGTTTTAAAGACAACATTTGGTGACCTGCCTGAGAACTGAGGAATAAGTGGATTGAGACTTAAAAATAAACAGAATGACAGATGGGCTGTTGTAATGCAGGGAATAATCAAGCACTACATGTGTTGGGCCCACCAGAGAACTGACATAAAAAAATGTTTTTAATCTGCAATTACTAAAACGTTTTATGACACAAAGTAAAATCAAATTTCCACTGAATACAAAATTTGACTTTCTTTTGCAAGGGGGGGGGGGGTCACCCTTCTGAAAACATGGTTTAGTCAATTTCCACAGTACAAATTTAGAATTGAACCAGAACATCAGCATTGGTAAAACCTTAATTAAAAATGAAAATCACTTAATGTGATTATCATGTGTCACAACACCCAAGCAGTGAAGAGCAGTTTATTCTTTGCCATCAAGGTCCGTCGGCCATACAAGGATATAAAATACCAGCATTAGGTGTTTGTAGTGGTAAATGAACAGCCTTACCTCCACGTCCAGCTCAGCATGAACCTGTGTGTCGCTTCTCTTTCCTGGCCCTGCACTGGTCCAGCTCCTGTGGTGAGCCATGGTGTGTCAAGCTGGTCAGGACTGGGGATCCTTGCAACAGTTCATTCTAGACATGGAAGATGCAGACAAAACTCAGCAGAGAACGTGAAAAACCACAGGAGGCTTGGCTTCAGTTCTCTGTAGCAGCTCCTCACATGTGGCCAAGCATGTCCACCCCCCCGTGTCTGTCTATGTAGCTGCATGTTGTATTACTGATCCTCATGATGTCCAATATTCACTTGTGTCTTAGCTCTGTTTGGTCTCTTGAGTTGAGTATCTGGCAGAATATGTGATATGAATTAGTTTTTACAGCTGAAAACACTATGAGAGCAGTGAGAGCAAAATTAAACCTATTTGTACTGATTATATGCCACCAAGGGGTTTCTAAATGTTACTTCAAGAAGCGGGACATGATTAGCCAGGGTTCAGAGGAGATGGCTTAGAGATGAGATTAAAAGATGCTTGTACATATGGGATAGATACAGGGCCTAAGTCTTTCAAACTTATGGCGATACCACCCTTTATGCATTTTACAAACTTAGGTTTGCAAACATTAGTTTCATTTTCAGCCCTCATCGGACCAAGTTAAGAATGGAGCAGTGAATCTTAATGGTTTAGTTTATTTTTATCAAACCATTAAGATGAATTATTTATTATTATTTTTCCTGTTAAGTGCTTTTTATATGATGTCATGGTTTTTAGGACATTACAAATGAAGTTAACAACCTTTTTGTATGTTTTGGCTGATGAACTGAGTGCAGGGAGACACTGAAACTGTTGTTGCAACTACTGTAGCCAAGGCTCAGGGTGAGAGGAGGATTTCAGCGAGTAAGACACAGTCCAGGTAGTTTGACCTGAGGGAAAACTAATACAGGGCAACCAAAACATATCTACATCCTCTGTAGAGGATACACACATGAAATTAAATAGTTTGATTGAATTAGTTTTTGCCCTAATATCGTGTTGGATCATATCATCATTAATATGTCAACATTGTATAATGAAAAAAGTCTTTGAACATTAAAAAACCAGACCTGAAAATGAAATGGAAATTGTGTTAATTAGGCTTTGTTGTTTAAAGCCAAAACTAAATATTTTTACAAATAAAAGCCAAAGGGTTAAAGGTCCAGAGTGTAAGATTTAGGTGAAAGGGATCTATTGGCAGCAATTTAATGTAGAATAATCCTCATGATGTTTTCAGTAGTTCATTCCATCTAAATTGTATTTTTCTTTACCCCAGTGAAGACCCTTTATATTCAAATACTTTATATTTACATTGAGGGGACCCTCTACAGAGGCCGCCATGTTTTTTACATTAGTCCAGACTGGCCCAATTAAACACCTTTAAGTTTTTTTTAAACAACTGAAGCTACCACAGTTTCTTCTTCATGTTTGGAAGGAGAGGGTGAGGGGTGTTCAGCTGCAACATGCAATTTCAACACTAGATATCACAAAAGTCTACACACTGTACCTTTAATGAGTGAAATGTTTTTCATTTCACATCTCTATCTGCTTCAGACACTGAGAAAATAAAGCTTTTGGTGAAGGTCATGTTTTTCACAAAACCCTCAGGTTTTAGGATGTTGCTTTCAAATACTTTCAATTCATGCTTTTGTTTGGTTTTAGGGCACCTTGGATCAGAGTGTGTTAAAGTTGTGTAATATTCCTTATGAATCCACAATGTTTGTCCGTAAAAGTTAGACTGTTGTTTCTCCTTTTAAATATACATTAATTATTGCATCCAAACACATTTTAATTTCAAAACAAAACATATCTCAAGCCAGATGAGCCTTTTAGTTGTGTATCCAAAATATTCTTTATCCAGACTAACACACCTGAAAATGTATGATACATGAAAATTCACATGCACTGGTTATTGGCAAAACAGATGGAACTTTTAGCAATGCTTTATATTTATGACTAGTCATCCAGTCATGGCTGATAAGATCCAATAAGGAAAAGAATGAGAACAACTGTATCACAGTTTCCAAAAGTATCATTTTCTGCCAGTTATGACTAAAAAACAAAACATGTTTTTAGACTTAAATATAGCAAGAAGGCTAACAGTGTTTTATGGCCTCAAAAACTCTAAGTAGGGTGGACACCAATGAATCAACAGTGATGCCTTTTTATGGCCTGGAAAAACTAGCAAGACTGAACATATGCAACAAGTGCATCCCTCCCCCCCTCACATAAAAACTATATAAAAAAAATGTCTGGCTATTGTCTCTCCATCTAAAAATGTCATGTGAGATTACGGGCAGGGTGTGTGCAGGCAGATATTGTTTCATCTGGTTAAAAAATAAATTTTAGGTTGTTTTCTTACAGTCCTGCAATGGCCACAGACAGCGTCTTTTTTCTTTATTTAAGACAACTTTATTTATTGATGGCTATTGGGGCATGAAGAGGATTTCAAAAAAATAAAACAAAAGTGTTTCAGGAACAACTGACCCACTTTAACATTAAAATAAATGTTAGTCTAGTTGTAGCCATACTTCTGCAAAGTCAATATTTTTTGTACTTTCAGTGTTAAAGATTTTACTGCATTTTTCTTCAAACAGAAGGTTTTCTTTAGCTTCAGGAGAGAAGGAGAATGACTTCACTGAATTGGCACAAAGTCAGAGTAAAACACAAGCCTAAAAAAAACATACAGCATGTTCCTCCATACTGTAAATGTGACATGCAGTCCACAACATGTGTTAAAGGCCAAACACTGCTTCACTCCACAGACTGTGCTGATGCTCTCTTACATAATGCCAATCTTGCAACATCATGCTGAAACTCCAGCAGTCTTTTTATGACAGCCTGGACAAATAGTGATGCAATCCAGTGCGTTACTCCGGCAGTCTTGTCGCAGTCAAAGAGCAGCTGAAAGAATGTCGGGCTGGATGCTGTTTAATGTTTCATTCAGCATCCGCCAACACGTTCAGCCTCTGGACGAGTACAGAACGCCTGCTCAAACTCCATGGGTGGCAAGGAACTGCAAATTAGAGATGAAGACAATGACAAAAAGGCAGAGACTGGTGAGATTTAACTAAAGATAAAAAAAAAATATTTAAAATTGCTTTTTTGGGAGGGGGATGAGGAGAGAAAGGCAGTGTTAGAAAAGGGAATGTATGAGTGAGAGAAACAACGGTGAGAAACAATGTGAAAGGAAGTGACAGAGATTACGACAGATAGATAAAAGCAGTGGAGAGAAAATATGAACAGTGGGACACCACTGCCTGTAATCTCACTATAGAGATGGTTTGATTTGTGAAAATTGAACTTTAGAAAATGTGACAATTTGACAGTAGCCGTGGGAGAGCAGTCTGGGATGGCCGTGCGGTCTTCAGAAAATGGCCTCTTCTTTTTCTCTCTAACTCAAAAAGGAAAGACCTGGTGACCTGTTTGCAAGCAGCACCAGGTGAGAGGCTGGCAAAGAGAGACAGAGGACGTCCATATCCAGTCAGGTAAAGTACAGGCAAACATGAACAACAAACTGGAAACAATTCCTGTGCTATTTTCACCCATCTTTGTCAGTCGAACTTGAAGATAGACTGTAGATATAATATGTCTACACTATATCATACAGTATAATCATATAAATTGGTCTCCACTGTGGTGCAAATTTAAACTGGAACACACACTGCTGGAATCTAACTTGTTTTTTTCCCCCTAATCTGTTGTTCATTGACACCAAGTTTAGGAATCATATTAAAATAAATAAATTTTCTTCCTATCTCGAAGGTATTACAGTTGATTGTCGTCTTTATATCCATGCTTAAACAGGAGCTGCTGTTAGCTAATGAGCCATTAGACAGTCTATACAAATGGGACTAATTCAACAAAACACCACAGGGAGAATGTTTAGCATTATGTAAAAAAAATTCCATCAAGGCAGTTCAGGCTGAGTTGGAATCTGTTGTCTAATCTTGTTTCAACAACAAAAGAACCATATCCTGGCCAGTAAATAAGGTTCAAGACCAACCTCATTACTTTGCTGGTCTAGAACCCAAAGCAGCTTACATGGGGTGTAGAGCATATCGTTATCAGTAGGGGGGGTAACGGTACATGTATCCAAACTGAATATTTATTATTTATTAAAAAGCAAGTTTTCTTAAAAGTACCCAACTCCAAACCAGTGCTATTATTAGCCTAGAACTGTTATGTTGGTGGAAAGGGACAAAACACACACTAACATCACAAATAAACAGAAAGGTAAAACCAGGCACAGCATAATACAATCAAGTTTAAACTTTGTACTAAAGCCACCTATGACAGGTGCTTTAAAACAACCAACTTTAAAAACCTTTAACTAATAAGATTATGTGTATTGTTAAATGATAATTCAAATTCTGAGTGTGAAATGTATGCTAAAACGAGTAGTGTCCATGGCATGGCCATTATATTATGCTAAGAATTTCAAAATGCAAAGAAAAGTTACCACCGCACAACATTTGCATCAATTGTGATGACACACAATTGGAGAAAGAAATAATCTACTTCTCACAGCAGAGTAAACTATGTTACTTTGTAAAGTGNCCGAGCACTGAATGCTGCCACAGCGAGATGTCAGAATACACAGCTCAGCTCTCACTGAGGCAGCCAGGGAAAAGAAAAAGGAGGAGGGTGGGGGGATTTGAGTGCTGAATCCCCTTTCCTTCAACCTAAAGCATCAGGCAGTCAGTCCTCTGTGAGGCTCAAAGGTCATTCTGCAACACAACTAACAAACCAGTCTTATTACAAGCTCCATCTGCTAGCTGTCCTGTTGCTTCTGATAATTCCACACTGTCCTAATCAGCACAGGGAGTTTGTCCAGTGATTTGCATAATGGGTATTTATTTGACAGTACGTACTGAGGCTTACAATGCCCAGGGACACTAACAGTCTTTTCCATCCATATATTTTGCAGAGAAGTCCAAATCTTACACTTTTTATAAGTAATCTTTAAAGTTAGTAACAACGAGGAGTTAAACCAACAGGTTTCCCAGGATAAACAGTACATTTCTCTGTTGTGTATGAGGATTTCAACACGCCTCCATGTCCTCCACAGGGCAGGCATCACTCCTCTGTCCAGCTTGGAGTTGTCGAATGAGATCATCCATTCCCACAAAGCGATCCTATTAACTGTGTTGAACGTTCAACACTGCTGAGAGCTGATTGGATTATTCTAGTCTGAGTCAAGCTGCTCCATCTGGAGGAGTGCTAAACCAGTCCTATTAATGGATTACCAGCCTGTGTCTAAACTTTCACTATTCAACACAGTCCGCACTGTGTTTTCAATCTTGTGGGTGCACAAAACACATGACAGATATGAAAGGCATTAATCTGAGAGAGCTTCACTTAGAAAGCTCATTTGGACTCTAGCTTTAAAAATGAATGTCAAAATGATAGCACTGCAAAGGGTTCCGTTAACATGCATATACACGATATGCATCTCCCCATTTGAATTAAGTATTGACAATTATGCCCTTCTAACTGGAGGACACCTTTAAACTCATGTAGATACAATTAATTAAGCAAGATTTGACACAGCAGAGACGGCATGCGTCTCAGTTATTAATGTCAAACGGTTCTTGCCTTTCAAGTTTTAATTGAAAACGTGGAATTGCCCGACTTTCTAAATGTGGCTCTTGCGCTCCCGTTTCAAAAGTGTGTGCATGTGTGTGTGCTGGAGAAAGCTGCCAGTAACTGCTGAGGGCGTCTCACTAACATAATCTCAGTGGCATATTAATGTTGGTGATAAATCAGGCTTTTAATGTTTCTCTCAAATAAAAAAAAATAAATCCAGCCAAAATGTGAATTCAGAGGGTAGACTATATTTAGGACACAAATTTCTCCTCAGACTGCGATTCTAGTCTGTTCTGTCTGTCAGCAGGAAATGGCTGATTAAAGTTACAGTGCATAAAGAAATATCACACCGGATGATTCAAAGACAGACACTGATGCATACACAATTTGAAGCATCTTAAATAAAGCACTTAAATGTTTAAATCCTTAAACTAATGAGTTCATAGTCAGACTCCACAAAACTGTCAATGCGGCAACTCCGGGTTTCATCTGGTGATTACATCATACAGAGTCTTCAAAGGAGACACTTTGAACTTATACTCAAAAGTTTCATGGTTAAAAATGTTCTTACTCTTAAAAGTTTCCCTGCTGCCTTATATTTGACAGAGTAGTAAAAAGTCATAGTTCATTTTTCTTCATTAGATGGGCCAATGAAACGTTAAACCATCTTTATATCCTCTGGAGCTGAACATGTGTTCACAGACAACTGGCTTTGCTTAGGGTCACTTGACATTTCACCTCACATCAGATCTGAGACAACTTCAGTATCTAACTGGATAGTGGGAAGTTTCTGTACCTCTGGTTAAGAAATCTTATAGAAAGCCTCTTTCAACTTGTGGGTCACTGGTATCCCCTGCATGATTGTGTTTGTACACAACTCCAAACACCCTGACCTGAAAAACAGAGAATCTTCACATACAAACAAATTGATAAGTTTGACAAACTGTGGTCTAATTAGGCCCATTAAATACGTATAGGTAGAGTGTGTAGAATTTAGTGATATCTAGTGTTGAAGTTGCATGTTGCAGCTGAACACCCCTCACCTCACCCTTTCCTTCCAAACATGAAAAAGAAACTGTGGTAGCTTCAGTTGTCATAAAAACTCAAAAAGTGTTTAGTTTGTCCAGTCTGGACTAATGTAAAAAACATGGTGGCCTCTGTAGAGAGGGTCCCTCGATGTAAATATAAAGTATTTAAATATAAAGTATTTAAATATAAAGGGCCTTTTCTGGGGTAAAG